TGCAGTGCCGCGGCAGGTGTGAGAACACCACAGGCGCTAACCGACAAGGCCTGGAAACTCATTGAGTATACGAGTGGAGTAACATAGGAGTTATATATATATATTATACCCTCTGGTAAACTAACATAGCTATTGAAAATGGCCATATATATCCATATAATCCATATGGGTTTGTCTGAAAATAGGCTATATTCCCAAACAAATAGCCATTGAAAATAGGGATAATGATCAGCAAAACCATTGGGTTTAGGGGTACACTATTTTCAGACACACCCATATATATATACACTATTGAGTAATAGGATATAATAGATAATAGGATATGAATGTTAATTTAGTCCTACTATTATGGGCATTTATATAATCCCTAATTGGATTTATTTGGATTTTATGGGATTTTTATGGGGAGTTAACCTCTGGTAAAGGATGTTTTCAGTACCCTCTGGTCAAAAAAAAGAGTTCGACCCTGAATAGAATCATTCGTGGAAACTCATCTTCAAAGCCCGATGACTGCTCATGTTACTGGAGAGTAGGCGTGATACCGTGATTACTGATCCTTGAACTGGGACCCAGCAGTAACAAGGATAACTATCAAAAATAGTATCAAACCATGGCAGTAACTTATTGATACTTATTGATACTATCAAAAACTTATTGAACTATCCAAAACAAACCATGTTTTTTTTGGATAGTTCAATAAGTTTTTAAAACAACGCATGGGGACTTCACCAACTATCATTGGGGACAAATGGGCACTTCACAAATAAATGGGGATCAATGGGAATTTGAGTAGCATTGTGACCATTGGAGATTTACCATGACGTAAGTTTATATCAGTTGCCATTTCAGGAAACGGTGAATATTGGACCTACCATATATAAGGTCTATGTAAGGGCTATGTGAAGGGGATATACCATGATATATCGATATACCCCAAAAATATTGTTGTATGGTTACAGTACCTCCAGTTTAGGTACCTGAAATGACCATTGACGCTCAAAAGATGGGATGAATGTGGTATGGTCATCCTGTCATCCATGCCATACCCCACTATGGATAATCTACCCAAGTTCATGAGATATATCGGGGCCGTGATTCATCATAGCATCAATTTCTGGTTTTCATGATGAATGAATCAATGAATCCCTGTTTTTTGCAGGTTAATGATTCAAATTATCCCCATCATCCCCCATCCCTTTTTTGTCATCCCCATCACTATTATCATCCCCATCCTCCAGCTCCCATGGTTCTCCCAAGCCGAATCTCCCATGGATCTCCCCGACAACGTCCCGTCACTGTCCCGTGGCCGTGGCAGTGCCAGGCACCTCCTTCTCTTCCAACAGTACCAGGGCGACCATGGCGCAGGTGATGGCTGTGGCCTACGTGTTTTTAAGGTGCCAGAAGGGGCTTCCATCACCAGGTGTTTCCCAGCGGTTATTTTTGTGTTTTTTCATGATTATTAGTGGCTATTGATATGGTTACTTCTTTTAATGGTGTCTAACGATTAATGCTAATCAATATAAATGAATATTATTGATTACCAATGAATATCAATGGATATGAAAATGGTTGTTAATGGTTTTTTGAATTAATACTAATTTTGTTATCACACATTGTGGATCATTCATGGTTGAATATGCATATTGATGATATTAATGATTCTTCATGGATATAAATAATCACCATATTAATGGTGTTTAATGATTATTAATGAATATTAATGATTATAAATGGATATTATTATGGCGCTTAGTGTGGTAAATCGCCATATATTCCATCCCAGAAAAACAAAATCCATGACTGGCGGTCCTTGTCAATCATCCCAAAGAACTGGGTATAGCCAATCTCATAAACCTTTACTGGGGTTGGTTTGTTCTTGGGTTTACTGAACAAATTTTATAGAAATTATAGAACGAATAGTTTATAGTTTATAGTGGTTTTTAATAACAAAACCTAAGGGTTTATTGCAAACTAATTGTTCCAACTATGCAAAAAATGTAAGACAGTTGTTTTTTGTAGAACATGATAAGCGATCGACCATCGAAATTGATAAGTCAACAAACCCAGTAACTCAATAACTAGCTGACTGACTGACGGACTAACTAACTAAGAAACTAGTTACCAGTAACTGACTGGCCACCTAACTTTTGCAATTGACAAACAAACCAACAAAGAAACAAACAAACAAACCAACAAACCAACCAACCAACCAACCAACAAACAAACAAACACACAAACAAACACAACAACAACAACAACAACAGCAACAACAACAACAACAGCAACAACAGCAACAACACAAACAACAACAACAACAACAACAACAACAACAACAACAACAACAACAAACAACAACAACAAACAACAACAACAACAACAACGAAAGCAACAACGACAACAACAACGACAACAACAACAACAACAACGACGACGACGACGACAGCGACAACAACAACAAAAAAACATTCACAAACAAACATTATCTAATAAACATCATGTTAGAGTAACTAACATGAACTGCTAAACCACTGACTAACTGATTCCATTGCTGACCATTGGTGTTTTGTTGATCCCCTCAGTTGTCTCAACCGGAAACCATCAGGGCCTTTCCTGTAAATTTTCCCTTAAACCAATCCAGATTTGTTCGAAAAAAAACTCACCAACATGAACTGGTAAACCATTGTGGTTGATCTAAGTTGAACTGAACATACCCTCTGGTAAAATGTCACATAACTATGGAACATCACCATGCTATTTATGGGTAAATCCACTATTTCTATGGCCATTTTCACTAGCTATATCAAATTACCAGAGGGTATACCATCATATATCCCATTAAATCACCATTAAATCACCATTAAATCACCATTATTACCAGGCCGGGTAGCCCGCTTCCACCGTTCGGGCGTTTGGCGCGTCGCGGCGCGCCGCGCCTCGTAGCCCTCGGGCCCCGTGAAGTGCACGTGGCCCCACTGACCGTTCTCGGCCTCGCAGACCAGGTAGGTCTCCATGAAGCCCAGGGCGCGAGCCTGGCGGTGGGGTAACATGGGGATGGTTAATATATGGTTAATATATGGTTAATATAAGACCATTATTGGAATATATGCTGTTAATAATGGTTAATATGTGGTTATTATATGGTTGATGATGGTTAATAGATGATTAATATATGGTTAACCATCATTATTGGAATATTAAATATCTTATATATATATAATAACCATATATGGTTAATATAAGACCATTATTGGAATATATGCTGTTAATAATGGTTAATATGTGGTTATTATATGGTTGATGATGGTTAATAGATGATTAATATATGGTTAACCATCATTATTGGAATATTAAATATCTTATATATATATATAATAACCATATATGGTTAATATAAGACCATTATTGGAATATATGCTGTTAATAATGGTTAATATGTGGTTATTATATGGTTGATGATGGTTAATAGATGATTAATATATGGTTAACCATCATTATTGGAATATTAAATATCTTATATATATATAATAACCATATATGGTTAATATAAGACCATTATTGGAATATATGCTGTTAATAATGGAGAATATGTGGTTATTAAATGGTTAATGATGGTTAACAATAATCTGGTTGGTGGTTTTAACCATCTTGAAAAATACGAAAGTCAATGGGAAGGATGACATCCCATAAATTATGGAACATAAAAAATGTTTGCAACCACCAACCAGATATAATATGGTTATGTTGACACAAACCTAATAGCTGCAACAGCGAGATACAGCGAGCACGATCTAGAGCACAATTTTTTGCACGAGGGAAAGCACAGAAAAGCACTATTTTGTGCACGAAGGAAAACACTCAAAACAACGTTCGTCCAAAATGTAAAGAAATCCATTTTTTGACTGTTACAGCTCTTAGGACGGACTCAATGGTTATGTTATGTCATGGAAACATATGGGAAATGTTATATGGAAAATTATCTGGGATTTCAACACATGTATATGATATCATGGAAAATCTGGAACATATCGTTAGATACATCATAAACCATGGGGATAAATCATGTACTGGAACATAGGATTGGATACACATTATATATTGCATTTTTCGTTACACTCACCAAGAAGCTTTGCAGCTTTCTTCCGCAAGCTTGGCGCTTTCTACAAAATTCCAACATGAAACGAACTGGCTACTATAACTTGGTTTAATGGGGGTTATGATGCACAGTAGGGAAACTCATCTTCACCAACTTGAAAAATGACATGTCGTCGTCTCCCCATCCCCAACTCAGTCGGTCGCCTCCTTGGGTGGACCCAGGCCGACGGCAGGTACCACGCCCTTCTTGCGCATCTCCTCGTGGGATTGGTTGGTGGTTGAGCCCTACCCCTCTGAAAAATGATGGAGTGAGTTTCCCAATAGTAATGGAAAAATAATCCATTCATGTTCCAAACCACCAACCAGCGATGAATTGGTTGGACACTTTAGAGGAAAACCCCATGATTCAAATGGGAAAATCAATGGTTTCCGCTGAAGATTTTCCCTAAACCAATCCATTGACTTAAGATGACTTAAGTTAGTTGAAATAACCAGCCCTTTTTTTGGATGTGGCGCATCAACTTGACTTGATGTACAATTACCATCAAGACTGGGAATTTAACTGTCATAAATAGGGATTTGACATGGTTTAACCCTCAACCTACACTGGTATGGGCAACTATTGGAGACAATATCTGGTTGAACTAGGTTAAAACATCCTGTAAAAAAAAAACTCTTAGCCAATGATGATATAATGGCTATGGCTCAAAATCACTTCGTGGATTCTCGAATATTTTCGATATCTACGTTCGTTGATGGTCACTGCTCCTACGCCTCATATATGGTATAGCTCAAAAATCAACATGTATCAACAAACAGATTTTGGGATGGTCAAATGGTCAAATACGAAACCAGCTGAGTCCAGCTGTCTGTTGATTCGTACCCCATTTCTGTGACTCAGAAATAGGTTGTTTTGCCGTATCCGGCTATGACAGGGTACGCGAATGCTTGAAGCGGGAACGGGTGCAAAAAAAACGGTTCAAGTCTATCAACATCTATCAATGCAGTTTGATTGGCATTTGCGGCGCAAATATGATTTCAATCTTTCAGTAGATCCACTTCCAATGATGTTGATGAGCTGTGAACAAAAGAACACACGGCCAACTAGCTGCTGCGAAGCCTGTGCGAAGGGAGTTGTCCTTGGATTAGCAGTGGGATTTGGGATCCTCCCCGTCAGTTCCACGTTTCCCTCTAATAAATCCTTGATGATGTTCCTTTACCTGGTTTCAAATCGGATTCCAAAACTAAACCACAAAACCTACCAGCATAAAAATTGAAGAAACCATCTATGTTGCAATTTGATTTCGAATACAGGGATGTACTGTAGCTAACTTGAATTTTTTTCTGTTGCTTCCCAATAAAAGATGAGTATTGTATGTACCTCCAGATATCCATCATCACAATCACAGGGCTGGAGTGGTGGCCTCACCGAGCCCCCAAGGAATTTCCGATCCTCCAGCGTTTTCGCTTGCTTCATGGTATCCTGCCAGGATTGGCACTGCCGAAACCGCACATTCAGTAACCTTATTTCCGTTCCGGATGGTTTTTTTTAATGTGTTTTGCAAGTTTCATCTTTGGGTAAAAATTGGGGGTTCATGTGCACATGCAGAAATGTTGGCCAACAGAAATTGGGACTGTCCCCGCATCAATGGGGATGGCAAAGAAAAACATAGAGATGGACCCATGTTCCACTAATTCAGGATTTCAATTTTCAGCCTCTATAGGTTCAACCCTTCAATTCTGCATTTCGAAACTGATCCATTTTCATCCAGTTTCCCCAAAAAAAATCATCGATTCAATGGCAGATTTCCCCCCATAGTTTTCGCTTCCAAGTCCGGCACGTCCTTCAGGTCCGCAGGCACTGGGTTTGCCCATGCCTGAGACGACAACCTGACAATCCTGTTTTTTTTTTTAATATCGTTTTATATGGTTTTTAAAAAGATGTTTCAAGCTAAATTATTTAAATCCTAGCTAAGTTGCTGCATAATGAATTGCCAGGTACCGCACAAGGCGGCGGCGGAAGTTTCAAAGATAGGAAACCTATAGGATAGGTTGGTTGTTGTGAATCACGCATGGCAGAGCGAACCCACTGGATCGACAAATGGTTGGACCGTCGGGTTATCTGTCTGTCTATCTGTCATTTGTCTATCTATCCATCTGTCTCTGTATTTATCCATTTGTCTATCTGTCTGTCCGTCTATCTATATCTATCTTATCTAAGTGTCTAAGTATCTAAGTATCTAAGTATCTAGGTATCTAGGTATCTAGGTATCTATCTATCTATCTATCTATCTAAGTATCTATCTATCTATCTATTGCTCACAAAAAACTTCCTTGCAAACTGAAAAGAAAACTGACTGCTACTCGAACAACTTTTTCAGGTGGTCCTCGAACCATTGCTCCAAGGAGCTGGAAGAGCACAGGGCCTGGCTTGGCAAGCTGGATAAATCGAAAACATCAAACCTGTGATTTAGGTGCGCCAAAGCATTGAGTAATGGTATTTCCACTTTAAGATTTGGAAACCAAAGTGAGAATGGTGTGAAGACCCCGCCTCATAAAGTTGTGCATAGACAAGCCTTGGTGCCACAAACAAGGATAATACATAAACAGAATTTGCATTGAATCATGCACACAGAGTTATCAACTTGCAGCTGCACACAAGAAAAAAAACAATTTGAAATTAAATGTGTGAAATAGTTTTCAGGCCAGGACTGGGCCAGATTGCAGAGATGATCCTGGACACGGGACATTTAGAAAGGCTGCTCCAATGAACTCAAAAGCACAGAGTTGAAGAATAAGTTCGGTGAAATATGACAGTAAGTTCTGTGAAGCTGTTCTTTTTCATCACTTTCTTTCAGCGCTTTGTTTCAGCGCAGTTCTGCCGGCTTTGTCTCAGCGATGGCTCACATCTTCTTCAGGATGCCCTCAAGGAGAGTCTTAAACCTCAGACGGAGCATATATCTTATTTTCCAATAACTCAAGCTGACTGTCATTGTGTGTGCGAAACTTGCTGATGAAGAGCCACAGATCCAACCACTCAACTGACTGTCATTGTGTTTGCGAAATTTTCTGATGAAGAGCCACAGATCCGGCCTGAAAAGCCAGGGCACTTCTCATCATCTCCGAACTGCGCCACCGTCCGATACTTCTGAACATCGGCTTTCTTAGTGGGCAGTCCCAATTCGCATCAAGTGAAATATGCAGATTTCTTCAAACAGCTGTCAACAAAAAGCACTACAACAATCAAAGCAAAAGCCGTCACAGAACAGAACCTCCAATTTGCAGCTCAGGGTCAAATTGGTCATAGTCTCTGCCGAGGCCAATGCTCATCAGGCCAGCCGCGAATTGCGGGGCTCGGTGCGCACCGCTGTTGCAGTGAATCCAGGTTGTCTTCGGTGACGATCTGATTCTCTCGTAGAGCCCCTCAAACCTCAGATTCGCATCAAATGAAGCGGGAAGCACGCCAATCTTGAAGTTCATCAGTGGCAGCTGACATTGGGCATGCAGAATGCACATTTCTGGAAAACATGGCAAGGAGCGCTTCTGCCTGACCTCTTTTCATGCAGTTCGGATTGAACGCATACCATTCGTGGCCAGCGTCTTGAGCTTCCTTCTTTCTCAGATCGTGCTCCCTCATGTTGCGACCAGGCAAGGTGTGGTGCCAAATCATGAAAGCTTCAAAGTTGGCCAAATGAAAATAGTTCAGAATTTATCTATCTATCTATCTATCCATCCATCTAGCTACCTACCTACCTACCTACCTACCTAAAACGAAGCTATTCTGCAAGACTTCCGCAATTTTCAAAGTTGACACCATCAATAACGAAGCAATTTTGCGAGACTTCCTGAATTTTTGAAGTTGACAACGACGCAGTTCTGCGACACTTCCTTCAGTTTTGAAGTTGAAAACATCAAAAACGAAGCAATTCTGCAAGACTTCCCCAATTTTCGAAGTTGACAACATCAAAAACGAAGCAATTCTGCGACACTTCATTCAAAAATGGAAAGTTGAGTGCAAAGCTGACGGCCTCATACCAATACATTTTGCCATTTTTCCACTCCTTGTGTCCAAATTACTGCGCCTGCCACGAAAAAGTGAAGGCAAGTCATACGAAGTGCTACCACCTGTCACGCAAAATCATCTAGACTTAGCAAGCCTCAAGATCTGATGCGGCAAAATATGCAAAATGCAACCTTTCTCGGGAAATTCGCGCCCAGACCGCCGAACATGTCTGACTCATGTGTCTCTTGTACTGCGCCTGCCACGCGAAAAGCATCTTTGCAGATAATGTCCCACGCCTGCCAACGTTTTTGAAACTGCTGCAAAATCTTCATGTTTTGCTCACTTTTGGCAAGGTGCAGAATCCCTTGCGCCTACCGCACAAAAACGACACTTCAACGTCCAAAAATGGTTTGAGCACCTGGTGTTTTTACCTGTTTGACTTCGCAATGTGCTTCGCGCCACAATGGCGTGCACTTTTCGACATCTGAACTTCCAAGAGTGCTTCGAGCATGACATGTTTTAGCATTTTGACTTCCAAATCTGCTGGGCCACACAGCGGCGTGCAATTTTTAATCTCTCATCTCCCCAAATGGCTCCGCACCCGCCGCTTTAGCGAGCCTACTTTTTGAGATTTTTCGAGCCTGCAGAGCCACAAAACATTGGAAAAACACCGTGTCCTTCGCGACTTTTCTACCTTTTCGCGCACCTTGATCTTGTTTCTTCTGACTCTTTCTCTTCTCTGATCTTCTTTCTTCTTCTCTTCTCTTCTCTTCTCTAACTCTTCCCACCTCTGCTTTTCCATCGGTCCATATTGTCGGAAGTTTGACTTCTAAACTTCCGTCGACTAGATTTGTCAGGGATGTGATACATGTACAGTGGAGTTGCATAACTGCTCGGCCCCAATTCCCACCATCAACTGTGGAAATATAGGAGGGGTCCAGGGCACTTCATAGGCGAAGCTGGCAATTTTTACAGTGACCTTGGGGAGGGGAACTCATCTCCCGATGCCATCTACCCTCCAGTAAACTAACAGCTTGCTATGGAACATCACCATTTTTCATGGGAAAATCAACGAACTAAAGCTTCCATGACTGCGCAACGGAAATTTCCAATCATTGGAATCCAAGAGGCCAACAACGAGACATTGGATCAATCAAACATCTAATCTAACGTATATCGTTACAATTGGTTATTATTGGATGCAAGTGATACAATCCAAACCAAGGACCATCTATATCATATCAAATCATATTAACACATGAAAATGCCGCACTTAACATACTATGGATGCTTTTTTTGGGTCATGATTCAGAACCTCTGTGCATCTCCACCATTGTTGGGTACAAAGTGTTGCCTCTTTGCGTCATACCCTCCAAACAAGTTAGAAAAACAATGAACAACACATGTTTCTACCACAGTAAATAGGGCCACTAATGATTGCTAATGGTTCCTAATTGTTACTAATTGTTACTAACAGGAAATTAGGTGTCTATCTTTTTTGGGGCTTCCTAGACTTTCAAGTCTCTTTCATGTGCTCATCGTTGTTGGTATCTCCCATTCGTATTGGCTATCTATGATCCCTTTTTGATAGGTACATCATCCCATGTATTTGTCTGGCTCTATGGCCCAATATTTCTTTATGTTCTTTCTATACATAGATATCCCCCTCTTTGATTTGTCTATCTGTGTTTTCTGATAGGTAAAATACAGTATGGTATAAATTGTAAAATGTGTCAATTTTGGATTTATCTATGCTCAGTAATTCTAAGATTGATACATTCGATAGATAACATCTATTAATCCAATATTAACATGTATCAATCTATATCTCCAATGTTTCCATTTTTCTATGCCCAAGTCAGGCACATCCCTAATTTCTCCAAGTTCGGTGCTGCATATTCCGCTTCCTGGCAGCTGGGACCCCGGCGATTGAACATGTCCACCGAAAAAATCTTTGGTACTGAGTATATAAATCTACCAGAAATCAGTACTGATTATCCAAAGTTAGTGAAAATTATGAGTACTTTAAAACATGATTAGTATAGATTCACCCTGATCTGAATCATGGTGAATCTATACTCATGTGCTCAACCCAGTAAAATCCACAAAATGACCACTTGTTTTCGGTGGTAGAAACTATCCGGTAAGTATATTATTGGCTTTAATTACCACATTATGTCCGTTTGAGAAAACTGGGCCGGTTTGGCATACGATTTGTCATCATTGACCGAAAAATAGATGGGCGGCCTTCCGCAAAATCAACATAGCAAGGGGAAAACGACATTTATGTGCCCGATGACATTGGAACCCAAAGTCTAAACCAACCCGATGACATTATGATCTAAATTGTTGGATGGCGGTTCCAGCCAACACTGAAAATTTCCCCACACAAGAATAGCGCGGAAACTTTTGGACCATTGCGCATCAATGTATTGCATTGCATTACATTACACTAGACTACACTACATTACAAAATTACATTACATTACATATACATATTACATACGCCAAGGGAGTTATGTATGGTAATACACTATTATGTGTACATACACAGCTAATATGATTATATATGATTATACATGATTATATATGACTATATATGATTACATATGATTATATATGATCATATATGATCATATATGATTACATATGATTATATATGATTATAAATGATTATCTATGTAATCATATCTGAAAATACACCAGCATTTCATAAAAATTCTGATTCTCATTGCTTTTCCAAGACGTTCTCACCTTCTGGTCCAAGCTCAGGTCGCGCACGGTAACCAAGAGCTGGTCACCATAGCTGGGGACATCCTAGGCGAGAGCAGGATGCCTTTAGCGATGGATTTTTTTGGTTATATGGAGGCTTCCATAAATGGAGATACCCCAAAATGGATGATTTATAATGGAAAATCCTATTAAAATGGATGATACGACTAAAAAAATAGAACAATAACTTACAACTATTTTATTATTTAGTGAGGTCTTACTCTTCTATTTTGTTTTTTAACACACCAAAAATAGGAATCTACTAGTACTATCATCTACTGATTTTCACCTGCAAAACATGTGATAACAAAACTATTCAAACATCAACAAATCGCGCCGAAACGCGATGATTCATGCAAGTTCACACACCCAAACACAAGGTTCATATGACTCATATGTGTTGTTGATGGTCCACAACCCCCTATCCCAGCAGCACTTCGTTGGGAAGGTGACCTTGAAGAGAGGATGTTTTTTTTTTCGGTTTTGGATTTGGCCCAATGGTTACTATGTTGGTCAAAATGAACCAAAGTCCCCATCTTCTCCGGGCCCCTAGAGCCCCTAGAAGGGCCTTGACTCCCTCTGTCATCATCTCCTCAAAGAGGCCACAACTGCGCCGTAGCACGCGGCTGCAGGTGTGCGACACGTAGCCAGGCCTCAAGTTACGAGTGCTTTACATAACCACGGGCTGTGGGAAAAGATGAAGAAATGGATTTGCAATGAGCTGACGGTGTGATTTAATGGGTTTCAAGATGTTTCAAGAGATTTTCATTAGATTGTAATAATTACATTTTTCCCCACCTGCCAGGTGATGGTGAGGGTGCCTAGATTTTAACAAAGGTGCAACTGTTTCTCCTCCTCCTTCTCCTCCTCCTTCGTCCTCTCCTCTACCTCTTCCGCCTACTCCTGCTCCGCCTGATGTCAGCCTTGTCTTTCCGAGCCATGTGGAGAGCTCTGGATGCTGCGGAGCACGCCTGGACCCGAACTCCATACCGCCAGCCCGGATCCTGTGGAGCACGACTGGGCCCGAACACATGTCAGATAGAATGCCAGAAAGAATGTCAGAACTGATGCCAGAGAAAACGCCAGATAGAGTTTCAGAATGGATGCCAGATAGAATGCCAGAGTATATGCCACAAAGTATGTCGGAATATATGCCAGATGAAATGCCTAAAAGAATGTCAGAATAGATGCCAGAAAGAATGCCAAGAATATATGCCAAATAGAATGCTGAAAAGAATGTCGGAATATATGCCAGATGGAATGCCTGAAAGAATGTCACAATAGTAGCCAGAAAGAATGTCAAGAATATGTGCCAAATAGAATGCTAAAAAGAGTTTTAAACAGGTCGGAATATATGCCAGATGGAATGTCGGATAGAATGTCAGAATATATGCCAGAAAGAATGTCAAAAATATATGCCAGACAGAATGCCAGAATGAATGTCAGAGTATTTGCCGCGTGTCAGAATAGATGTCAGATAGAATGCCAGGAAAATGTCAGATAGAAAGTCAGAGCATACGCCAGAAAGAGTGTCGAATAGAATGTCAGCAAGAATGTCAGAATATATGCCAGAAAGTACGTCAGAATAGATAACAGATAAAATGCTAGAAAAAATGTGAGATAGAATGTCAGAGTATATGCCAGAAAGAATGTCAGATAGAATGTCAGAAAAATATATATATATTATATACATAGATATATGCCATATATACTTTCAGATGGAATGTCAGAAACATTCAGAAACTATGTCAGACTTTGTGCATCAGGGTGGGGATCACCTGAAGTAAAGTAACAATCGGATTATTGTGGGATTTCGCCAAAATTGAGATTTAGTTGATGAACAATGCAAACTGGGCTTGTGTGGGGTTGGATTGAAATGGCGCGCAATTACCAAACAAAATGATCCAAATCATTAGTACGTGTTCTACTATAGTATACATCCCAGAAATAAGCTATTATTTGATGGTTCTTTGGGAGGTATACCCCATCTTCAGGTACACCACCGAAAAATTGTTTGGTGTTGATTTGCCAGCAAAAACACAACAAGCTGGAAGTCATGATGTTTCGGCCATGATGTTTCGGCTCCTTTATTGTATGATAATTTACAATCATGCGTATTTTTTTGGGGAAACGGGAACACACATCTTAGAAACCCACAGAATTCATGGATACTTTTTCAGTGGTGTAAATGAATGGGGGCCTTCGGGCAGGTCATAGGATATCATATCCGCCATGCTCATTGGTAAATAAAAGAGACAATGACAACCCCGCATCAACAAACCCCTAGGCTGCCTAGGCTGTTTAATTGGGGGTGCATTTATAAGTAGGATATCAATGGATGCTATCACTATTTGTGGGAACCAAGGTCTATTACTCCGGGGTTGGCATGTCCCATGGTTGCCGATATCCAGTTGCATTGGCGATCCCTCCATTTCATCATGCTCTATTCCCCATGTCATAAGGCTGCATGGTTGTCGATATCTCATGATGACATATCCCATTATGACATCATATCCATCCATATCCCACTACACTTCCGGCACAAAAATGTTTGACGCTACATCCATGTCTCTCCTCAAAAATGGCACCAACATTTTGCACTATATTACATCATCTTTCCACCGTTGTTCCACCATGTTTAGCATGTTTCATCATGTTTCACACTGTGTTCACCATTTTTCATCATCTTTCACAAGTCTTCCATCATTTTACCACCATTTAATAAATTTAATCCACGTGTTCACCATGTTCCACCATATCTTCAGCGCATTCACCACCATTTTTGGCTGCTTCCAGGGGACATGACCCATGTGCTGGGGAACAACACATCCGCCTCCGCAGTGCGACAATCTTTTTCCTTCAGCCGCAGGCAACTTTCCAAAATCCATGGAGAAATTCCATGGAATTTTCAGGGGAATGTCATGGGCATGCTGTGCCATCGAGTTACTTAACCGTTCCACAAAAAACAAAACACAACCATCATACTATATATATGTGTGTGTCATATATGTTTTATATATGTATATATATATGATATATACTTATATATATATTTAAATATATGATATTTTATATATATATATGAAATATATATATATGATATATATATATATATGATATATATATATATATATATGCGATATATATATATGATATATATATAAATATAAATGATATATGTATATATATGATATAAATGAGATATATTTATGTATTTATATATGATATGATATGTATATGATATATATATATATATGTGATATGATATATATGATATATATATATGATAAATATATATATGTGATATATATACATATATATGAGATATATATATATATTAGGCATAACTAGATCACAGTTCGCTCAGCCCGAACCAAAAAAAAAAACGGCCCATGGTGATCCATCCTGTGAAATTCGGGGAGACCGGGAAGACCTAGAACTGAGTGCTACTCCTGGTGGTTCATGTTGGGTTTATTAAAAAAATCTGAAGTAAAATGGCACTGATCATGAAATTTGAAAACTCTGTCATAAGTTTTGGGGGTTTGATGGTTTGTTACTAAGTTTACCATGGTTTACCACGTTAATATCAAAAATAAAATAATATTGATGGCAGCCGATGGCATATCCCTCATCAACCAGCAGCAAATAAGAAGGTGGAGCGATCAAAGCCCCAAAATGGCAACTTCGCTGCGGATGATATTTCCCTGGACAAATCTCTCTTCAGGAAAATTCCGGGAAACAGAAAGTTAGCTTGGAAAAATTGGGTGTTTCTCAAAATTGGTGTAGCTCAAAACTATTGCTGTCCCTAAAATGTTCCATTTTGGCTGTATCTAAAGTCCCCAATGGCTTCAGAAAACCTCAAAAAAATCCGACAAAATCTTCGGCCAACGTTCCGTGGCCCTGGCCCTCGTCCTGTCCTCTGGTCTCACATCACATTTCCTTTCCCCTCCAAGACTAAAGGGATGTTGATATACCTGGGCGAGCCTAAGGTCCTGGTAACCTGTGGCCTGGTGGCCAACATTGACAAATATATGGATGGTAAATTGATGGGAAATGGACGGTAAATGGATGGTAAATGGATGTTCATCCCCCACGTCATGATCGGTTTTGATCTTTGATCTTTCTATGTCTTCCAATGTGGATCTGCTTCCAATTTTGGATGAAAAGAGCAATGCATCAGTCTAATCCGCTAGCTCTATCCATTTCACAATGTGGCTCCGTCCTGGAATTGGCGATATATATATGTATATATATACATACACCATATATATATATATTGTTGAAATGCATGTCCATTTGCATGTCCATTTGGGTCATTTGGATGATGTATGCTGCCGATGCCCTTTTACCATTCAAGGGCCCTTGAGCCGTTGGAACATACGGCTGATCCTGAGGCGGTAAGGTGAAAACATTGTGGCGCTTTGCTCGCATTCTCTTCTTTCATTTGTGGATTGAACCACACTTGTCATCCTTGGGTTTTCCGCTTCGCCATGGTAGCGGAGCAGGTTGCTCCATAGGATCCTTTGACACATCCGTGTACTACGCGACAGCTCAGGCTGTACCGGAGGTGGCTTCACTGTCACCAGGTTTGTGTGGTGCTGCAGCATTTCCATCAGTGTTTCTCTGTCGAAATGGACGTGAAGGACCCATTCCGAGATTTAGCATGGACATCCTGCAGGTTACAGAGACTTTAGACGGAAGGTAATCTTGTCAGAGCCAGTTTGGAAGACAAGCAACAGCATCTGGCCGGACCTCGGCTCCTCAACCGACTTAGCGGAGAAGCATGGCGAGCAACAGAACACCTTTCTGTTGCATCCATTCGAAGTACTGAAGGTTAATTGGTTGGATGTGTTGAAAACACTGGACAGACACTACAAATATCTTCCAGAAACTAAGTTGCATGAGGCAATTGATGAATTCCTCTTCCTGTTGCGTCGCCTTGTGGGTGAAGGTGCCACAGCCTTTGCAAGCCGATTCAGGACACAGCTGAATAGGTAACACCGATTGCCCAAGAGCGTGACCTGACCCGTCGCAAAAAGAAGAAGCGTAGAGGTAAGAAAGGTTCCAAGCAGGCAGAGTCTGAAGAATCTGACCCGCAGTCAAGTGAATCTGATGAGTCACTTTTTACGACTCGCTCTGGACCGAGCGTTTCTCCTCCACCAGAAGATGAAACTGATGTGCATGGTGAAGAATCTGAGCAGCCGCAAGCCGAAGCCCAGACTGCATCCGCCGCAGCCGCATCGGGTGCCGCACATGAGCCAGCAGCTTCACCAGCATCGAAAGCCCGACTCATCCGGAGTCGGTGAAGTCCTCAAAAGGTTCCAAACGAGCCTTCTCCACAGGAACATGGAAGGCCGACCAGGCCAAAGCACAGTTGCACATGCAGAGAGTGTTAGGCACTGTTGAAGCTTCACACACCAAGCCTCGTCCGATTTTTCCACAATCAGTCTTAGGACACTTGTTTATGAGAAAGTTTGGGCTCGGCCGTGATCAAAGAGCTCAAGTCATCCGTGCCACAGGTGGTTCATCGAGGTTTGACGACATCGAGAAGATCCTTAGAGCACCAGAGCCTAGTGTCCAGCAGCCCGACACTGAACCGCAGTGCGTATGTTGTTGTCGACATGATGCCGGTGAGCCCCATAAACATGATCATGAGCCATCCATTGAAACCTTGTATGAAGAATCTGACTGGGTAGATGTTTCCCCTAGTAGTTCCCTTAGTCCTCAATCACGTAAAGCCATCAAGCATGCCCTTGACCAACTGAAACATGCCAGCACTCGCATGACCTTGTCAAAACTGGTTGATAATCCAAGAGCGGTTGGGTCCACAAGCTAGCAAGCTTGACTGTCCCGTTGGCTTGATCGAGGTGTTTACGGGGAAGGCACTGTTGTCTCAAACCTTTGAAAGAATCATTGGAAAGGTCAGCATTAAATTAGGGTTTGAACATGGTCAAGATTTCAACAGGGTCAACGATCGAAGGTTGCTTTTACTCCTTGTTGCATATTTCCAGCCAGATCATGTTTGGTTTAGTTGGCCATGCACACACTGGGGTCCATGGTGTCATCTCAACATGTCCAAGTGTCCAGAAGCCAAGAATGAAATCCTGAAGTAACGTGCCCTTGCCCGGAGGTACCTACACATGGTCTCCGAAGCCCTGCACTTACAGAAAGCCTTTTCAGCACACTGCCACGCCGAAAATCCGTTGAGCTCTCTGGCATGGAATGAACTAAATATTGGTGATGTTTGGACATGTAGGATTGACCAGTGTGCATTAGGATTAAGGAGCCCCAAAAATGGAAACATGATCTTGAAGCCAACAAGAATAGTAAGCACTCAGCAGTCGCTCATCCAGGAAATTTCCAAATATCGATATCATGGAAACCATCCTCACGAACATCTAGCTGGGAGTTCTACAGGCCAGAACCTAACCAAGTGGGCTGAAACATACCCCTCAAAGTTTTGTCGTGCGATGGTCACTGGGATGAGCCACAGCATGAAACATGTTGAACGTCAGCCATGTCATGAAGTTTTTGAACAAGATGCCTTAGAAGACATTGACATGGAAGCAGCAGCTGATGAACAAGCCGTTCAAAATGCCAGCTCTGAAAGCAGCCAGCTGAATGCGTCGAGCAGAGAGCCGTAGCACTTTTCCGTCGTTTGCATGTCAACACTGGTCACTCGTCTCCAGAGCAGTTGATGCGTTTAGCCAACAGATGTCAAGCATCAGAAGAGATCAAAGAAGCCATCAGAACCTTCAAGTGCCCAGTGCGCGAAGAACTGAAGCCACGGCCAAGCTACCGAAAGGCCACTTTGGCCCATGCTGAGCAACCAAATCAGATTGTCGGTCTAGATTTCGTCCAAGTTGAACTGAAACGTGAAAATGCCAATGGCCAAATGGATCCAAATGGAAGAAATCAAAAAGGATGTTTTCAAATGTGTTTGTCTTGCAACCGGGTAACCGACTTCTGTCAGCAGGTAGTGGTAGAGCCTGGCTGCTACGGCCTTTCCAAAGCGTTTCATGAAGTCTGGGTTCGACTGTTTTTATGGATCCCGACCACCGAAACATCAGTAGGGATTTCCAACAATATTTGGCGCACAACAGTATCCAACTGCTTTTAGCCGCAGCTGAGTCTCACTGGCAGTTGGGTGAAACCTCCAATAGGGTGTTGCGTAACATGGCAATGAGAATTTGGAGAACGACCACAAGAAGTCCCAAAGAAACCATTGAAATGTGCGTGACCGTGCGCAATGATTACTTGAGAAAATGTGGATTTAGTCCAAGCCAATGGTTTTGTGGGAAGGGAGCCACGTCACGCAGCCTCCTTAGCTGATGTAGATGAACAACAAAATATTGCATCACTGTCCCAGGTTTTTGCTGATCCCGAATTGGCCTCAAAGGTTCACCTTAGGGAAGAAGCTGGAAAGGCATTCATGGAGGAGCATGCTAAGGAAGTCTGGAGACGTGCAATTGCTGGAAGAAACCGCCCCGCGCGCGGACCTTACGTTGTAGGCCAAATAATGTACATGTTCCGTAGAGCTGGTCGTGGCCAACTGAATGTGCGTCATGGCACCTGGCGAGGCCCTGGCCGTATTGTTGGCATGGAATCCTCCCGAGGTGGACCAATTCCCAGGCTGATCTGGGTGTCTCACAACGGATATCTGCATCGATATTCTCCAAAAGGATTACGTCCCATTCCAGAAGATGAAAATAGGTTCAAAGAACTCATCAAAGAGATGTCCGTTGGCCAGCTGCATCCGGAATTAGAACAAGCTGCTGACACTGTAGCTGAGAGGGCGGGGCAATTTCATGACCTCATAGATCGCAAGCTGACCGATGATGATGTAGAACTTGATGATGACCTCATGGATGATCCCGATGAAAAACCTGAAGATAATGTGGTTCCAGACCCTTCCATGGATCAACCCCGTAGTGTTAGGTTCTATAGATCACCAGAATACTGGCGAAAAAGAGCCGCAGGTGAAATAGGTCTCCATGGTGCTCTGCAGGAAGGGCCAATTCCAACATTGGCTCCCTATTGCCACTGAAGATCAAAGAGAAGAAAAACGTAGAAGAGTAACCATACAAGAGCCTCCTGCTGCTGAGCCGTCGGTAGTTGAGCCTGAAGTCATGGAGCCTGTCCATTCCGACGGTGGTGATAGCGCAAGTTATGCTCCATCGTTTGCTGGTCAAGAGCCTGTTCCCAGCCCAGAGGGCGATGATGCACAGCCCATGCAAGGCAATGCGGCAAAGCCAAAAGCCACAGACCCTGGTCCTCCCACCGTTGCTGACGATGAGGAAGCCGTAAAATTAGATGAAGCTGTATCTTGTCCGGTTCCAGCAGGGGATGATGAAGATTTGTACATCCATCACTCTTTCAAAGAATCCCAAGAAGTTTTTGAAATTTCTATCGATGTAGTCCCAGGGGATATCACCGATAACCCCTTGTGCCTATGGTCAGTACTTGAAGACATGTTTTCAGGTCAACCAACCACCAGCAAAGCAGCTTAGGGTTGAGGTGTCATTCCGAAAGCTGAACAAAAGTGACCAAAAACTATTCCTTGAAGTGATGCAAAAAGAATGGAACTCTTGAATTGAAAATAAGGTCACCTCTTTCCGTAAGTCAAAAGGGATAAACACAGAAAGAACAATCCGAGCCCGATGGGTATTAGTGTGGAAAAAGTCATCAGACCCTGATGTCAAAAACCATACTCCAAAAGCCCGTTTGGTATTGGCAGGATGGCAAGACCCCGAACTTGGTCAAGTAGCTACAGACAGTCCAACCTTGCGGAAAGAAAGCAAAAGCCTGGTTTTGTCCGTATGTGCCGCAAAACTCTGAAAAATATGGGGAGCATATATAAAAACAGCTTTTCTATCAGGAGACCACCAACAACGAGGTATTTACTTCAGACCCCCACCAGAAATCAAAAGATGGATGAATCTCGATGACACCGATCTTTTCAGGTTAGAAAAAGCTGCCTACGATTTGGCAGAGGCACCTAGACAATGGTTCCTAAGACTAACCAGAGAATTAAAAGAAGCCGGACTGACACCCTCCAAACTAGATCCGTGCTTACACTTCTTAAGAAAAAATGGGGAGATCAAAGGAATCTGTGGAATCCATGTCGACGATTTGCTGGGTGGTGGAACGCCTGAGATGGACGCAGTGTTGGACCGTCTCAAGAAAAGATTGCCTTTTGGAGATTACAGGACTTATACCCTTAGGTACACAGGGGTTGAGATAAGACAGAACCCAGTGAGCATGGAAATCGAAGTAGGACAGGAAGACTACATCGAGAATCCCTCCGAAGTTCCCCTGAAACCATTGGGAAACATGTCCACAAAACTCCAAAGTCCCACCATCATGCGAGCGTGCGCAGGCCAATTAGCCTGGGTTGCAACAAGCACACGGCCCGATGTAGCCTTCTTAGCATCTTATCTTCAGGGTGTTCAAGATAATGCCGCTGTTTCTCATGTTGCTATGCTTAATAAGGCAGAAAAGTGTGCATGAGATTTCCCAGCAATGTCCCAATAATCGCCGCCTGGCGAATCTTGTGCATAGCTGACGCAGGGTGGTGCACCCGCGAAAATGATGACAGCCAGGGTGGTTATTTGTTGTGTTTGACTACACAAGCCATTTTTGACAGAAAGCGTTGTCCCTGCTGGTTGATTCATTGGTCATCAAAGAAATTGAGAAAAGTAAGATCATCAGTTGCAGCAGAGACGTTGTCCGCACAAAATGGTTTGGATGCAATAGAAATGTTCAAGCACTCATAGCCGAAACAGTGTATGGTGTCCCTCCCAAAGAGTTTAGACAGTCCATGCCAGAACATCCAGCCGCAATGGTCGTTGATAGCAAGGGTTTCTTCGACGCAGTGACTAGGAGCTGCGGTAGCCATGCGCTATCCGTAGAACGTAGGCTGCAGATTGACTTATTCGATTGCCAAGGAAACTTGCGAAAATCAAAACATACTTGTGTACTGCGTTAATATTTTCAGGATGTCTTCTGACTGTTTAACCAAGTTGAAGGGTGACCTCAAACCACTTTTTGAAATCTTGGAGGTCGGAAGTTATGAGATCACTGTTTGTACCCAATCCGGAAAGAAAGAAAAGGCTGAAATCACCATAGCTGCCTCCAAGGGCCGCAAGCCATCGGTTGCTGAGAAAGAAGAGTAAAAGACTCCTCTCGCTGGAGGATACTTTGCAATCGCTTGCTAAGTAAATAATGTATAGCATAATCAAAGACCGGATGTATAAAATAATACATGTAAGTGGTCCAGTGTTTCCTTGCGAAAGCCAAGATGTGTACAGGTTTGTATAGTGAGTGAGTGAACTTGTCTGCAATCAGCAGCCGCGGTTCAAAGCAACGTGGACTTGTCAGTCCGGATTTATCCAAGCGCTAGTCACACCTCCCGTGCCTAGAATCATCTACATGAGTCGTGGCGCTAAGTCTTTCAAGTCTGAAGCCGCGATGGGACCGAGCAGTCAGCCTCTCAATGAGCCCGAGTTGACCCAAGCAGCCGGTTTGCGGGCGCGTGCAGTGAAGCATGGTCAGGAAAGCCTGATCTTGCGCAAGTACATGCATGAGCCTGGCCACAACAAGGCCATTGCCCCAGCAGCAGACCATGTCATGAAGGAGATTGGAGAGATGCTTGGAAAGCGAGACCGTGACGTTTCGCCAGGTCCTATGCCCTCAGCTGGCACAGATGATTCAGACTGGAGCGCCGTTACGCCTGGTGGAAACTATGTGGGGAACCTTGGCTATGCGCCTCCGATGCCAGCCCAGGATTTGTCTTCTCATGCCCGTCCGTTCGAGAATACGAAGATTCCTCTGCCAGCAGATGTGGAGTCAGTCCGTGAATGGGGCCAGACCATTTGCAAGATGGAGAAAGTCAAGAGTCGCCGACTCACCTATGCAGAGATGGGATCAATGTCCGAATAAGACACTGGAATCAATGACTATTTGATGTTCATTCTTAGCAAGTTTGGCACGAAGAACACAGGACAGCTTCCAGAGAAGGTCACTCCTGGTGTTGACCTTGCCACCTACCTCGAACGTGTGAAGTTTCAAGGTGGTGCAGGCATTGAAAAGTCGGCAATTTTCCAGCGCGAGCTGCGCAAGTAGCTGTGGATAGATTTGTGATCGGCATGCATCCAACAGGGCGTGTTGAAATGCATGTCCATTTGCATGTCCATTTTGGTCATTTGGGTGATGTATGCTGCCGATGCCCTTTTACCATTCAAGGGCCCTTGAGCCGTTGGAACATACGGCTGATCCTGAGGCGGTAAGGTGAAAACATCGTGGCGCTTTGCACGCATTCTCGAATCCCAATTGTCATCCTTGGGTTTTCCGCTTCGCCAAATTTATATATATATACACCATATATACCATATATGCCATATATGCCATATATACCATGTACACCGCATATACCATATATATATACCATATATACCATATATACCATATATACCATATATATACCATATATACCATATATACCATATATGTCATATATGCCATATATATACCACGTACACCATATATACCATATATACCATTTGTACCATATATACCATATGTACCGCATAATTAATACATATTAATACCGGCTATACCCACAAACTGCGGAACATGATGACACACACACAAAGAATTGGATCAATTGGGTCCCTGGCAACGCTGGCTACGATTATTTTTCTGCCCGAAAGCTAGGAATCACCTGCAATGTGTCGGCTTGAACCCAGCGTTCAATTGCACCTGAGTTCCATGAGAAAATTATGAAAACATCTGTGGCAAAAAGGAACAACTTTATCTGGAACTGGCATTTTTGAGCAGAACAAATGCGGCAGTAATTAATCAATATCAATCTTCTTGCACGTTGTTCAGGTTTCATCAAGTTCCATCTTTCTCTTAAGACGGTGAAGAATCGCAAGTGCCAAAGCACTGGACTGGAAGTGCTGCACGGCAAGTTGGCCAGTTGCGAGATTTGGAAGATGGGATCCGCTTGGGATTGATATGATTCATTCCAGAAAGATACTTCAATGATCTTCAACGATATGGAACAAAATTGTCAGGAGGAATGATAAGAATGGTTGATACCTCAGTACTATACACACATCAACATTGTGATATCCCAATTTGTGATGTACTCTTCTGGGGGCCAAAAGACATCAGCAATTTTGCCTAGACTTGTCGAGCCGTCAGGTCTGATAGGTCTTGTGATAGCAGTTGTTGATATTGGATAGCTATTGGATAATACTATGGCCAAATTCAGTACTATCCAAAAACCAAATGGCAACAGATTAAAGTACTACTGTAAACAATAAACACTCAAACTTTACCCAGAGTATGGGTTTCTCCAACATTGGATACCAGGATAGCCCCACAACATTACACAAATTCTTTGATGGCCAGAAACGGGGGTATCATTTCAGGCCAAATGTTTGATCCATTCCATCGATTTTTCCACTCAAAATAGTCAGTCATAGGTATGGCCCATTTTCACACTGACGCACGCAAGTAAAATAACATGTTTATTTCCAGCAGGTAAATCATGTATAAATGAGCCCAATCCAAAGAAAACGATTGATTTCAGCGGGATCTTGCGGGATCTTGTGCTTAGATCAACACCCCCGTATAAAGGGAGCAGAAACGGTGCTCTCCAAAAAAAATGCCGAATCCTAAAGTCTACTTGGGTGGGTTTTCCCCATCTCAGTTGGTTTGGTCATCTTGGTTCCAGATCCGTTTCATTCTTTACATGCTCGCACCGGAGGCTACCCACTCAGGCGATTGCAGAGAACGTCATATGAATCATGTTTCTCTAATTGTTTGCCATCAATGCTTTGGAGTACCTGACTTTAAAATGACCCCAGTGGACACTCCTACGCACCTTTGACTTTACCACAGTGCAGCCTCAACATGCTGTTTAGTCATTGTTAACCCGAGGGCCCTTGATATGCGAAGTAAAGACAATATATATATATGTGGTCCCGAATAGAATTGAAAATGACAGAAACGGAACAAAGCAACTGCATCGATCAGTCAGCACCTTTTGTTATGCAGTTGGCTTTGCGGCTGTGTCTCTGTCAGATGCCAATCGCATCTATCACAAATGGTTTCACAGAAACTCTGAACTGCAGTGGTGGTGTCACACGTCAAAATCCACCCAACCCGCCGGAGCGTGAAGCTCGCGCAAGTAAGAAGGGAAAAAAAAGAGGGGTAGTAGGTGGGAAAACACCACTGTACACCATAAAGTCAGCCGCAACCACCTGGCTCCCGAAGGACCTTAGGTGGCGTGAGAATCGGTCTTACGATGTTTTGAATTTCCTGAAAAAGTGGGGACACTCATCTGGTCATCCAGAAGAGCCCAGAGAAATTTAAAATGAGAAAAAGCTTCACTCACTGGTAGTTGTCGATCAGGATGAAAACCAGTGAAGTTCGGGTGGGTGAGTTCGTCCGCCCACTTGTTGTAGTCCCGCTTCATGTGTGAAGGCGCCAATTGAACCCCAGCAACATAGAGCATGGCGATGAGCTGCATTAGGAAGGCTGAGGTAGGCATATGCTTCGTCTTCTGGTTCAACAGGGCAAAGACATTGCCTTGATTGTCTGAAATGAGGCTGAGACGGGTACGGAGCAGAGATTTCCCACCCAAAGCCAAAAGGAAGTGGGTGAGGATCAATGTGCCAAACATCTCGAGGGTCGCAATGCGTCTGGTTGGATCACCATCCTTGTGAGCCCATGGATGGTCTTCAAGGGGTATCTTGTAATGGAACCACCAGGTCTGTTCCTTTGACGGGTTCTCACAGTTTGCAATCCACCCCCCAATGTAGGCCCCATCATCCGGGTGTGCACTAGCATCACTGGCACCCCACCAATTGGAGGCAGGGTCGTAAGGGCAGGGTTGGATCTGGGGGTTGTGGAGCAGCTGGAGGAGAAGCTTCGCAAAGGATCGTATGAGCTTGCCGGGCTTCCCTGAAGTAGTCGTCGCGGATTTCCATGCCCAAAATGGTTGAAGAAAAGGGCGGCTGAGGGGCCAAGCTGCCGTTGCCCAATTTAATCGTCCCAATGCTCTCTCAATCTCCTTTACCGTGAAGGTGTTGCCAGCCGCGATGGTCTGGAGGAGTGCCTCAAGTGTCTTCCTCTTATCTGGAGGGAAGTCTACCACTGGTCCGCATGGGTTGACCTGGAAACCTAACCAGGTGTTGACCTCAGATAACACCGTCTTGTGCCAACTGAGGGGGCACCCCATGGCTGCTAAGAAGAGAAGTAGTTTTGCCGTATCCTCAGTGGCGGAGTCCGTTCTGAGGAGCCAGCAAAAATCATCCACAAACACAAAGCCCCAGTCTATGTGTGGAAACACCATGTAGCATAGTCTGAGGAGGAGTGCCGCCATTCTGCCCCAATAAAGTTGGGCGCTGGCCATACCATAGGTACCCACCTTGTTTATCCACCATTCGCCATCAAGTTGTGCTACCTGGTAGCGCCATTCGTTGGATTGGACCTTGATGCGGCGGTGTGCTTTTGAAACATCTGCTTTCAAGAGCGCCCAGGTGGTTTGTTTGTGTGGAGGTTGCCATGCTAGGTCGGTGCAAGACGCTACCGTCCCAGATGTCTTCTCCTTCTTGGTGGTTAGCCAGTGAATGGCTTGAACACAGTCCATCACTGTGGGTGCAGTGGTCTTCTCAACTGTGTTTTGTTGGATGTGTGAGTTTGCATGGCCCCAGCTTCCGTCGTAAATTGTGCGGATTTTATCTCCTTCATCAATTGCTGCCAGGGGCCCTGGGCAGAGTTCATCTGGGGTGCATCCACAGCGGAGGGCGGCCTCCTCCTGTGTGAGTGGGCCTTCAACCATACCCATGTCTACCTCTTCCACGAAGGTCTGTCTGACCTGGGAGGAGAAATCTTTGGCCGAGGGGTAGTTGTCCCGGCCCACGGGTATTAGGAGGTCCTCCCACAGAGGGGATTCTCCTTTGAGTTCTTCCTTTGTAGGCCATATACCCGGTGACGTCCAGGTAGGTGTGGTGACACCTAATGGGACTCCCTTGGCAACCCTTGTGGGGTAGGCTGCGTCTGCATCTCCACCAGCTTCCGCTAAGGCTGAGATGAGGTTCAGGTAGAACGGCTGGCCTGGCTCCATCTCCTCAGCAAGTTGGTGGTCCAGCCCAATCTCTTGGGCAATGGCCCGCCGTGTCTCCTGAAGAAGCTCCTTAGAGAACGGATGTTTTCTCTCACCCCTGTTGATGGACTGTTGGACGTCCTGTGCACATCCTTTTGCCAGGTGGCTGATGGAGTCTCCAATGTGCTTGATCTTGGACTGAGGTCTGAGCGGGGGAGGTCGTCTCCCGGCTGAGGGCTTACCTCCTCCATCACGTAGGGGTCTAGTCTTGAAGCCTGATTGAACGATGATCGGGTCGTCATCCAAAGTCATCGTCTGGGAAAGGGGTACCGAGGAGGAGCGGTCTGTCCGACCAGGAGGCTCCCCTTCCTGTTGACATCCGGTGGATGGATGTCCTGTGTTTGGAATGCTCTGGATGATTGCTGCTGCCAGCCCTGCCATCAGTGCTGGCGGGTATCTGCTGAGGTCCCGGGAGGTCATCGCCAATGGCCTCAGGTGTTCAGAATGGTTGCACTGGAGGCCTTGCCAATGGTGAATTGGAAGGTCCGTTGAGAAGGTCGTACTCTTCTGTGCCCTTTGTCCAAGTCTACACTGGTCCAGGTGGATCTGACAGTGATTTACCTCTTTGGCCCACTCCTGATAGACTCTGGTGGCCCATACCGATGAACATTTTGCCGCCGTTGGTGCCCGACTACACTCCGCTGGGTCACGAGGGTGTTCCAAGAACGAGTGGAATCCTTTGTGTTGCCTGGCTTTTGAGGCTATGGCAGTGATGACCAGTTGCCGGAGCAAAAGGATACTGTCCTTGTCTGTGTCCAACTGTTCTTCCAGGGAATTTGAGTCGAGTCCCCATGTCTGGGAGGGATCACGCCCTCGTACTGGCCTGGGCGCTCCAGGCTTTGGAAACCATCGTAGGATGCTCCAGGTCCGGCAGTTGGGGCCGCCCCCCACAAATGACAACTGGCCCCCCACGGCGGCGCAGCAGAGAGTTGAGTAAAACTCATCC